AAGACTGCCATGGTCGTTCACTCCAAGGTCACGTGTCGTAGATATTATTCACCTAGTTATAGAGATCATTTTCTGTAGAATCATTCACCTTGGCGTAGAGGTCGTGCACTCTCGCCTTAAGAGATCATTCACTTTGTGTCATTCACCAAGTCGTAGAATTATTGTTCACTTTGTTGTAGACGTCCTTCATGCCAGCGTAGAGATCATTCGCCTTGTCATAAAGGTCGCTTCACTTCATTTTCTAATTAGAAAAAAATAAGGAATGTATTGGTGCAAAAAAATATTATACATTCCATTTAAAAGAATAAACTTTGATGCTGTACCCATCTTAAAAATTAAGCAGGCCTAGAAGCAGACTATGGAAAATATAAAAATACCCCCTTACTAATAGACCATTTTTTTTTACATAACTTTTATTCTTTCTACTTTTCTGATATTCTCACAAATAACAAAGTTATAAAGCAAAAACGTTTTATTCCATGTTTTGATTTTTGCGCTGTTGCCACGTTCGCGCATGTCATACGTCAAAATTGACACCGTCAATCTAGGCAGCTTTGAAAACTAACTCAAGAAGTGCAAATCGCACCACTGTATCTCTTTTAGTTCTTGAAATATCTCCAAAGAACATTGAAATCAAGCAATTTGGAACACCCGGTACATTCTGCTAACCTAACATGGAAGTTGAGAAAGGTTTGAAATCCTTAACTTAACGTCAATAGATAAATACAATATACAGGGTGATTCCTATAGTACCTGCCACCGTTTGGGAGCGTGTAGGTGGTGCGTAGGGGAGTATTTTGATATAGGACACTTGGGGTCGGAAATCTAAAATAAGGGTGCCAAAGCCAAATTTACCTTCTGGAATTTCGCGCCTGTAGGTAGGCAACCCAACCGGCCGGCGGTGCACACGGAGCGATCTCAGGCGGCGATGTGTGGCTGACACTTGATCAGAATTTTGTTTAAACCCACGAAATCCCGTCTGCAACGACGCGTATCAAGTGAATAAACACTATGGCACGTTTTACTAACACGGAATACGCGGACATGCACTTCATGTACGGATTGGCAAATGGTAACGCACGAGCTGCACGACGAGCGTACGCTGAGCGGTATCCAAACCGTCAGTTACCCTGCAGACAGGTCTTTCAAGAAGTTCACTTCCGACTGTGCGAGACAGGGCAATTGCAGGTAAGCTGACGGAGGCTTAACTTTACACACAGATTCGTGATGCACATCGATACTTGGGTCATTTAAGCACCCATTTCGAAAAGTTTGTTTGTTTACACCGACCTCCTCCTATTTCGCAGCCCACTAGCGCCCGTGATCGCGATCGCCCGTTGGTAAATGCCTTAGAGGAGGATGTGTTGGAACGTTTCGAGGCAAACCCGCGTACTAGCACTCGACTTGTAGCAGATCAGGTGGGTTGTAGTCAACACACAGTGTGGAACATCGCCAACAACAACAACTTACACCCCTATAAGTTTAAGAAAGTGCAAGAGTTACGGCCGGGTGACCATGAAAGGAGGCTGGAATTCTGCAACTTAGTCGTCCAGGAGGAAGAAGCTAATCCGAACTTTCTGAGGAGCGTGCTAGTTACTGACGAGAAAGGATTCTCAAGAGAGGGGACCTTCAATCCTCGTAACAGCCACTACTGGGCGGAGCACAATCCTCATGAAACGTTTACGCGAGGATACCAGGACAAGTTTTCTTTAAACGTTTGGGCTGGCATCCTGGGGGACAACCTACTGGGGCCTTACATCCTCCCTCCGCGTCTAAATGCCCATAATTACCTGATTTTCCTGCGCGAGGTGCTACCAGAACTTTTAATGGATGTTCCAGTGAACTTGTACTGGGACCACTGGTTCCAGCACGATGGGTGCCCTGCTCACTACGGGCGGCAGGTGAGGGAACACTTGGACCAAACCTATCCGGACAGATGGATCGGCCGTGGAGGTGCGGTGGAGTGGCCTGCCCGCTCGCCCGACATCACCCCATTAGATTTTTACTTGTGGGGTGTGATGGAAGCGCACGTCTACGAGACTCCCGTCGAATCCGAAGAGGACTTAATTGCGCGCGTCGTCATGGCCGGAGAGGCTGTTCGCCAGGACATAGGAGTCTTCACGCGAGTTCGAGGGGAGTGGTTGGCTAGATGTAGGAAGTGCATTGAGAACAACGGTGGCCACGTTGAACACTTGTAAACGTTATTGCTTTTGACTGTCGTTTTCCCTCCTTCCCTCCCATGTCGCTTCCTCGCGCTAACTCGCTCTGCATCGCTCCGCGCGAAACGTCGGTCGGTTGGGTTGCCTACATACAGGCGTGAAATTCCAGAAGATAAATTTGGTTCTGGCGCCCTTATTTTGGATTTCCGACCCCAAGTGTCCTATATGAAAAGACTTCCCCTAGGCACCCCCTATACGCTCCCAAACGGTGGCAGGTACTATAGGAATCACCCTGTATGTGATCGAACGGTATTACGACTTTTAAGTGAGCAACCTCTAGAACAAGGTGAATGACCTCTATGGCATGTGACCTCAGAGTCAACGACCTGGCAAGGTTATCTTAGGGATTAATTTAATCAGTAGTTTCTAGACATCTTAGGCCCAGTTATACAATGTCAGTTTAAACTTCAGTTTATAGTTAAATTGTGGGTTAAAGGATTTGATTGGCTAATATTTCACAAGTTGACCAATCGTGTTTCTGAAATGTGTCAGTTAGTGCTAAACTACCAAAATACACATTATTAAGCTGATAGTTTCTGTTGGCAGTAATTTTTTTCCATACCAGTATAAGAAAATTTGCTGTGACAGGCACAGATACCACCCCGCACAACTGCGCATGTGCGATTCTGCCTATTTATGTTGAAGAATATGTGTACCAAATTTGGTTCCAATCGGGTCAGCCATTTAGCTGGAAATGAGAGTACAGACGGACCCACAGACCGACATCATAGAGATTTTGTATGATTCGGATTCATGGTGCTTCAAAACGTGTATTTCAGTTAAAAAAGTGGGGGTCATTTTTACCCCAATGCAATACCTCTATTACTACCGTGCGAGTGGTAAAAATGGTCCGAGAGTGTCAGTGAATGAAATTAGAGCAGCCATTGTATAATGTGTTGCGTATAATTTGAACATTTCAAAAGCTGGATTTGTAAATCCATCGTCTACCACCTTACGTTCTTACACTTATCATGGTCCAAAGTAACAATGCGAGGATCACGCCTGACGGAGACTATGCCCTGTGGTTCATTTCATTGTTTTTTGTGATATTTTTATTTTATTTAGCCTTTATTTTTGAGTGGGCAGGGTTCCAGCCAAGGCTGCTCTACCAACTCAACCCACTATACATTTACAAATATCCATGCCCGAACCAGGGACCCTTAGCACCACAGTTCAGCTTTAACTGAACTACGCCACACGGGCCGGCGCCTAAAAAACCACAGCGCCCTCTATTGGGAACAGAATTATCACTCTATAAGAATCTACAATTTCTCTCTATGAAGAAATTTAAGTGTGGTCCACTAAACACCAACCACTATCAGTAGTATGTGAAAGTACTTATATAGTTGTAGAGCGAGATGGCTTATGTTATTTGGTCTGTTCAGTGAGTAACGAAAGTAAGAAAAGAAATATAGTGGTAACACACAAATTATAAACACTCCATGAGAATAAGTGGTCTTGGGCCCCTAGCAGACTCCTATTTATAAATTATAAATTCGGCTGGAGTCATAACCCGTTTGAAATTAGCATATTAAGAAATCTAGTAACCATATTTTAACTAAAGTTCATTTTACTGCTGTCAACTTCACGTGGTTGAATTTGAGGTTATAAACTTCTGTGTTTGTTTATCTAAATCTAAAATATTTGTTCTACTTCTCATGCATCGCCCTTATGTTTATTAGAGCACATTATTAACCAATTTCGTAAATAAGGAATAGAAAGTAATTTTATTTATTTATTTATAGCAAATAGGATTTATAAAACCCCGCTGGTTTTACTAAAATTAAGAGTTATAACTCCTGCGTTAGGTCACCATGTAAACCTACTCAATGATTTGTCAAATCTTAAAAATGCGTAAACCGCCATTTAATAGTTTGTGATTAGACCAACATCTAGTTAGATACAGGGTGTTATGTATAATATTGAGAAAAATGATAAGTAAATATTTTGGGCATATGGTGTTTATAGTATTTCCTTCTAGTCAATAGGCAGAACTTCATACTCGCATGGCTGCACTTATTGGATGTCACGTGAAAAAAATATTCCCATAAGGCCAGGTCAAATGTCAAATGAATTTTGCGAGCATTGCAAACTCTTTTTCCAAGAATACAAGCCTCTTGTTGACCATTTGCTGTTTACTCACCAGACACAATAGGCTCCTGTCTGATTTGTGCCAAAGTTGTAGCTTTTTACTGTTCAATTGAAGAATTGATTTAGAGGGAAGGAAAATTGGCAATGGTTTTAAAGCTTGGAAGATGTAGGTGGATTTCATCATTGTGAAACCTCAAAACAATTAATAAATGTCCAGTTGTTACTAACAAAACAAACTTGAAAATCTATGGAAACACATTTAAAATAGAAAGGCGGACTTTACTAAAATATACACTTCATCGAATAATCAATTGAACAAGGACGCCTGTACACCAAACCATCAATTAATCATTTAAATGGCAATCAAATAAACGATCAGCCAGTATGCGTTAATAATTGATTATTTAAAAACTTGAATAATAATAATAATAACGGCTTTATTTAGGCGGGGTGTCAGTCAAAGGCTGCTATTAATCCCAACCTTGAATCCAGACTTAATTGGTTAAACCAATGGTTAAACTTTATTACAAAAATAATCGATAATCAGATTGGCTGACAAAATTAATACCAAATTATTGATTAATAAGGACTATCATCCTTAAGCTGATTTGTTCGCCCAGCGCTAGAAAATAAAATATGGCCAAGAAACCAAATATGAACAAAAATGTGTTTTGCGCTTAAAATATTTACCTCGTTTATAAAACCGTAATGCACCAGTTCTTGGGCTAGCGCAGTGGGGGTGGGCGTTTCAGCTTCTGAAATAATACACGTCAACTGTCGATTCATTTTGTCATCCATTCGCAGTAAAATTGTCATCTATAAAAACACGAAATTACTAACGGACAACTGAGGTATAAGGACGTACTGCTAATTCACAGCTGTCTTCGATAGACTTTACATCACATAACATATTTACAATTTTTCGTGTTTCCGTGTCGAGAGGTTCGGGTGTGACCGACTTGACAGACTCTGCCATTTCGGGTGAAATGGCCCTCGATCTGGCCGGAGGAGGTTGTTTGGCACCGAAGGCCGTTAACGGATAAATGCCATTTCTACACAGAGAGTTTTAAAAAAGTGCTTTATTATTGTTAACAAGCTTACTTAACATCCTCTACAAATTTTTCTAGTTTTTCAGCACCCTGTACATCCGACATTTTTATTTGCGTTGCCGGTTTGTCCAAATGATTTATAACGGCTACTATAACATCCGGACTGTATATCCTTTGCATGAGCTCATCTGTAATTGTTTCCGATATGTTTGCTGCGAAGAGAAAAATGGTGAGTAATCTCAGGCTTAAAAAATTAGTGCTACGCACAATTACCAGTATTCTTAGCTAAACAGTGCGCGGCGAGTAATTTAAGACTATGAACTTCGAATAATAGGGGATGAAAGAGTAGCTCTCTGGCGGTCGGCCTCTCTTGGGGTTCCGAATGGAGGCATCGCTTAATGAAATCTTTCTGTTGTTCGTCTTCCAGCGAGTCAATTGTCTTCGAAATATTCTCTTCCGTAACAATATTACCGGAATCTCCGTTACCTTGTATTTCCAAAGCAGCCATTTCCAACGCACACATACCAAAAGAATATATATCCAGTGCGGGAGTTAATGATGCCGATGCTAAAATTTGAAATAATTAGTGATAAATGGCAACAAATTTGTATCGAACTAGATTAATCAATATGATGTTCTGGTGCAACCACAATTAAAAGCATTTACTAACACCAAAAAGCGATCATTAATTAGAAAATATGGTCGCAAAGTCAAATCATAATCTGAATGCCTTAGTAACAAAATACTTTACACAATCATATCTTTTGTTTCCGGTCTAATGCAAAAATTCTATTCTATGGATATTTCCAAAGAAAAACTACAAAAAAACATTATACCAAGAAAGCAACTAAAAATATTTAGAGGCATTTGCCATACCCACTTACCATTATATGGTGTACAACCAAACATAATTGATGGAAAAGTGATAATGTAGCGTGCAGAATTTCCTCAGTACGATATTGACATGTACCAACAGAACAGGATATAGAATATCAATAACATACAACAACGGAAAATGATAAAAATGTGATAACATTATTAATTTAGTTCAGGAGCATTTGAAAATGAAACGTCAACCCATGTTGACATATTTTGGCCTACAGTGACCATCATCAAAATAATAACACAGTGATTACAGCAACACATGTACACATCCCTCATTAATCAGCAATAATTTACAAAAAAAACAGTTTTAGTAAAAACCAGCAAGCACCCACTGGGCAGTAACGCTTATTGAAATTGTTTGAACTTAATTTAGAATGGAATTTTAGAAGACTCTTTCTGAGATTTCACCCAAATGTTTAAATAGTAGGCCATGGATTCATGGAGATTTTATTTATCTATGGTAACAAAGACCAAACAATAAAACTCGTTGACGGTAGAATCCTGTCATTTCAAAATTTTGAAATATATGATATAATATTAAAATATAACCGTATGAAAAAGTATAGGTGGCATTTAAAAAATACCAACTTTGGGTCAAATTTCAGAAACGGGGGTTCAAAAATTTTTTTTTACTACGCCACTACATACAAAAATCTAAAATAGGCAGTTTTTGCCCTTTTTCTACCATACAAACTTTTCGTATTCACCTTGTATCTCAGAAACTCCTCCCATGAATCCTAAACCACACTCGCTAAATATTAATGAATGTAAACAGCAACTAATTTTACACCCAAAAAATTATAGCCACTTACAAATTATTCAATCCTGCCAACTACATATTTATTCTGTTCTATCAATTGCAGATACTATGTAAACATACCTAATTCAGATGTAATAAACGGATGACGTGCACGCAAACGAAGGAAAAATGATTGTTTTCATTCCAAATTTCAAAAATTCCAACAATAAAAAGTTGCATTTAAATATGGCGAAAAATTTTGGGATTTTGGGGCTTTTAAAAACACAAGTAGAAACTGTAAACCTTGCTTTAAACATTTAAAACTTATAAGCTTAGTGAAAGGAACCAGCGAAAGTAATGTTCCTAAATCGATAGAAGACGGAATAGTTGCTTATTAGGAAGACAAAAGTACGCAAATTTTGAAATAAGCAATAAAATTAAAAAATATTGCAAATTTTAGTGTTAAAAATCTGAGAACAATAAACAAAGCTATCCCGCTGCCATAATGTGGGCAATCTATTGCGATAATCTGTCAATATAGGGAGTTAAATAATGCTACAGTAACTGTACAAAAAGATAGTATGGCCATAATGCTCCATATCGGCCATGTTTTTTCCAACATATCATCGAGCTGATTGGTTTAACCAAATTAGTATATGGTTACAATAATGCTGTCACCATTGTGACCAACAAAACAAATTCATCACCTTGGTTTGAAGCTTATTTTCAACCAATCCTGTGTATTTGACCAAAACATGGCGGATTTCCCCAACTACCAATAGAAAATAAGACCACTGTCTAACCACCACAAAGTTGTATATAGTAAATAGAGAAACAGTGTTGTTGTGGATAATTGACCCCAATTGAATCTTGCGCAGGCAGTAGGCGAGTGTGCTCACTAACCAGTACAACATAGCTGCGAGCAAAGCAAATCAGCTGATTCGTGTCAACTACATAAGTATGTGGCCACTGTAGTTGGAGTTATTTTTCCACGCACAGGTTCTATGCACTGCTCCTCTATTTACTATATACAACTCTGTGATGACCACACTGTCTCTATAGAGTCACTGTAAGTAATGCTGTCTTAAAGCTGCATCTGGGGACTATAAATAAAATCAAATTAACAATAAAATCAGAATCATTTTTTAAATGACAGTCTCCTAATGTAACCTAATCGCCGGAGGAGGGGGGGGGGGCTGAGTTTTCCTCTCTAAAGATGCCAGGTCAGTGCTTGCTCCAGTGTTAGCAACTCACCCGGGGCGATCTTGAACTGGCATGAGTTTGCGAATATTGAGGCACTGGCTGGGGTCTGATTCTAGAAACTACGCGTGGAGCCTATCCACCCTCCCATACGATGGGAATGACCCTCTCCTCGATAATTTGAATGGAGATTTCATTTGCTCTTTTGGAATGTATAAGAAATTTGGGATATAATTTCAAATTTAACTTCTTAAATTTGGTATTACTTTTTAACGAATCCACTTCAATAATATTTCACGGTAATAAATAGCTTCAGGTTACAGTAAAATTATGGATAGAACACAAAGTGTTTGTAATAGTTAATTAAGTGATTTTTAAATCTGTTACTGTACTACGTTCGCACCTCCAGATGCAGTATGGGATCTTATGGACTAAATGGCTCTCTTACTAATTTGCGTCATTCTTCGATAACGCTATCCTTGTTGCTCACCGCAATGATGCCAAACTGACACATGACTAAAATGAAATGAGGCAAATTTACACTACATTTTTGTATGTTAGGAATTAAACTACCCTGTATATTCCAAATATTTTTTAAATAGTGGGCATTGAAGACAAGTTAGAACTTTTTTTTGGATAGTATAAGAGAGCGCCAGTTAGACGTTTTGTGGCAACTAAAGATAATTTTATTAAACTTTACACATAAAAATATGACTAATTTTCCGATGAAACAAACATATTTAACACTTTTGTAAGTTTCGATCAAAAGCCGATACTATGTTATTTTGAATTTTATTCACTTTTCGTATTCTGCATTTAATTCTAAAAATGTTAATAAAACACATTGGATAGTTGTTGAGGAAAATAAAAATTTCAGTTTTTTTACTGGAAATAATTGCTTGAACTCGATATTTTTCCATAATTAAGTGTCATCTTTTGTGTACGGTTCGAATATTAGAAAATGGGTTGAGGAGCAACGCTAGCTATTCAGTGACGTTTGTCAATTACAAAAACAACACACTTAATTTTTTTAATAGGATGCATATTTTTTATTACACTACACCTATCTCTTACAGATTATGATTTATTTACGTTTTTATACCACCTTCAAAAAAAAAATAAATGGTGGGCTTTGTCTCCCAAGCTTGTCAAAAATAATTTGGACCACTTAATAAATAATAATAGTTCAACTTTTGCCATGACACTCTTTTGTTTATTTTATGGCAATTTTTGCAGATTACGACTTTCAGCATCCTGTACAGGTTTTAATTTAGTTCATACACATTTTAATATTTGTGACCAAATTTAAACATTACTGTAGTAAATTAACAATACCAAATAACAAGGCAGTTCAAGCTATTATCCATTGCGTCTTTAACTACACATAACTGAAACAATTAACGGTTCGTTTAACTAAGTTAACATACTATTTTATTTTAGTTTTAAAAAGGTGCTGTAAAGCTCTTCCCTGCTGTTCCAAACAAATTTCCATTCTTTGCAACAAACTGGAACTCGTTGCTGAATGCTTGACACATTAATCTGCAACATTAAAATAAGCACACATTTATGCATAAACAAAAGAGTCAACAAAAGCTAGACTATTATTTATTAATTGAACCGAATTATTACTGACAAGCAAATGTTGGGAGACAGACGTCAAAACCACTTATTTATTTTTTATACTAACAAAATGTGACTGTGGTGTAACAAAAGCATAAAAGAAATGTTTACATTGTTTTTGTAATTGGACGAACGCCACTGTATAGCGTTGACGTATTTTCTAACATTCGAACATCGGTTCAGATACACAAAAACAAAAGATGGAACTTAAATATTTATGAAAAAATATCAATGCGCGAAGGTTTTCCAATCGAACAGTATGAACTCATTTATTTCCAGTCAAAAATATATATTTGATTAAAATGCATAATGGGAAAACTAAATAAAAAACCATCATACCAAGTATCGACTTCCGGTCTAAGCGACAGTGCCGCCCATCTTGAAAATATTTTGTTTGGTTTTATCGGAAAATAGCCATACATTTTATGCGTCAAGTTTAAAGAAATTATCTTGAACGTTCTCCCTTGTATTTTAGACGCATTTTCATGAGGTGACAGACATTTTTTCATTCACATAGCTTTTTGTAATTAAAATATTGTTTACAATAAAAAATATTGCAACAACCCCAAACCGGAAACTTATATAAATCCAGATAACACAGCCTTGTGGCATGGAATAAAAACCTTTCCATTTGAACAAAGTATGAACGTACTGGGAAAACAAATGATTTTACAGCACCTAATTTGAATGTCTGAACATGTTGGTGACGTGTACAGTTTTTAAATTGTGAACTTTTTCATTTGATGAGAATGAGTGGTTTGTTACTGGCATTCAATGATTTATTTTGCCGCTTGACAAATTTGGTGCAAAAAGCATTCATTTTTCTCCTAAACAGCTAACATAAATTAAAGTTTTAATGGTCTATAAATGTGACGGTCTCTTATTTATGTTGTATTTAAACATGATAATAAATATATTGAGTACAAATGAGTCTAAATTAATTGCTTGTTCCAGATTGCATAAAGATTAAGAGAGAAAGATTGCAGAACTTCGTATTGATTAACAAATGCAAATTTTTAGTAGGAAAAAAACTTACCACCATATTCTGGAGCAAAGAAATGCATATTTTTAATATTCTCTGGGCATGTTTTGACATGATGGTTTATCGAATCAGGTGCAACTAAAGAAAATGATAATAACAATTAGTAATGAATTTGGAGCTGCCTTTTACAAGCTAATGATTAGCAATTGATGGTAAAACAACTATCGAATCGCTTTTAACGCCAATTAGATGCAATGTAGTTTTTAATTGAAAGATGAACACCCCACACCATATTATGATGAGTGGGTCAGCAATGGACGCATTATGTTAAGCTTCAAAAACGATTAAGATCCAAGCAAGCAAAAAACCGTTTTACAGAGTATCTTTCCTCGTGCATTCCGAATGAATGTAAAACTGAAACCCAAACAGTAACCTCTCCACGCTTCCAGAACTCTAGTTTCCTTTACTAAAATTTTTTTCTGAGGTGTGACGGTCCAAAATTGACTAACTAGCTCCCGAAAGCTTGGAAGGCGTTGTACATTCATAAATGAGCGAGAAGAGATTAACGGAATTATGTCCATTTTGTACCTTATTGCATTGTTCAGAAATTCCACATTTCCGCACAGAATATGCATAACGGTAGTCAGCTGATGACGAATTCAAATAGTAAATCGCCATGCAACAACTGGGGAAAGGCAAAAATCTGAGCGATGCGTAACAGTTGTTTACCAAAAAATCCTCATCATCAGCAAACTATCAAAAGAGAGCCAATAAAAGCGATTAATATCATGAATTTCATCATTGATTGATTGTCAGACGAGGTGATTACCTGATCCAATTTTGACGAGGCCATTGTGCTGTATAAATATGGTATCACAGGTGAGATTGCCGTGGATGATTGGCGGGGAACAGGAATGCAAGTAACTGGAAAGAAAACACACTGCAGATCAAAGTACTGATGTAGTCCGTAGTCCGTTCTCGCTGGAATGTTCTGCCACAAACATGGAACTTTAATGTTTCGCATTTGTTCAATAATTCTATGTACTACTTACTTGTACATTTACACAGACATGAACTTAACAAAACATTAAACTTCACAATCTGCACTGTTGTAAAGCATAGTTATGAAGTTCCGTAAATTAAAACTTTAGTGCTCACTTACCTTTAGGTTGGTACTGTGAACACAGAGTTAACAAATACAATACAAATACAATAGAATAATAAAATTATCGAGTAAATATATAGATATATCGTCAACTTACAAAACCTACACCTATAATTAAACTTACAAACTAAAATATTAGGACATATAAATTCCGCAAAAATATGTAAAAGATAGAGAGCTTGGCTCGTTAGTTATTATTACCTTAAAGCGGAGAGGATCTGCTTACACCATCGTCGCCATGCTTGAAGGGGGAGTCGCTTTACGTTGCGCTTTGTACGCTTTAGGAACTGTTTCAGTGATCCAGACGACATGTATTCGGTGATGAATATAACCTGTAAACAAATTCATTTCAATACTAATTTATTTTACTAATTGCAATATTAATTTATTAAAGAAGGTGTCCGAAGAGAAGAGTTTAGCCCCGCCCCCCCCCACTCCCCCAAACAATCCGACAAATAGTATTGAGCAAGTGAGATTAATTAAAAACAGCTAAATTTATAGTAGCAATATCGAGGGGTAGACCACCTAGTATTTTAGTGTACACCAATTTACTATTTACCACATTTACGAAACATTTACTAATTTACTATTTAATTTACTTATTTACTCATTTACCATTTCATTTACTCATTTACCATTTCATTTACTCATTTACCATTTCATTTACTCATTTACCATTTGATTTACTCATTTACCTCATATTTACTCATTTGTCATTTCATTTACTCATCTATCATTTCATTTATCCATTTATCCTACATAGCTACATACTCAGTTTCGAATGTACCATGATACCCATCCACGAGGGGGAAATCGCAAATGGAATTTTGTACACCATACATCCATTTGGTGTGGACATCCATGGATATCCACCGGGCATCTTTGGAGATCCTCGGAAATCATCTGGAAATCCATGGATATCAACAGATCTCCATGGACATCCTTGGATCTCCATGGATATACTAAGACATCTGATATGTTTTTGGAAATCCGCCGACGTCTTCAAATTTGCTCTAGGACCTTTAATTACACACCTAGGTGCATTGGAAAGCCGGGAATAGCCATTGATGATAGAGAGAAGTTCAGAAATATTCCCTAGAAATTTTACCATACCGAAATCTGTTGCAATCGTACTAAAGTACAAGCTCTACAAAAAAGTCCATCACAGTTTTTAAGGGCATTTTTGCAAAATGATGTGTAAAAAGGTAGCTGCTGGCTGGCGGGCTGGCAGCAAATGAGGGCCCATAGAAGAACGCTTGTAGAAAGATGAGGAGTGTACATGCACCTACCAGGGCCGTGTAATTAACAACTTTAGGGACGGGGCTACATGTGAAAGGTCGCCGACATCTGGGTACCATCCCCTACCCTGCTATACTAACCTGAAGATTGTTGAGTTTTTTCCTATCTTCTTTCATAGATTTGATCTGATTGCTTTCAAATTGGTGTCGGATAGATCTTAAAAACGCGTACAACTTCTGCGTTTTGTGTTTTTTTCCTAGGGGCGAAATTAACTACCTTTTGCAAGGCGCGCGTCTTCGAGTGGTAGTCGACTTAGTGCGCCCAAAAGTTTCTTAGAGCTCTAATCGCGGTCTCCCTATTTTGTGGCGGGTTTTTAGCGAAATGAACGGTCGTTCGGAAGTGGGTACCGACAAAAGGAATGTGCTAGCCCCCGACAAGATCTTACTGATGCTGGACTCACAACTTCAAACACGATATATATCCTGACTTTACTATAAACGGTCGTAGTCGATCGGTGCTCGCCCTTCCATTGGAAGCCTCCAACAGCCAAAAACATGATGACTTTTCAACGATGGCACGTGCGTCTTCATGTAACTGAATTCGTAGGTACGGATCGCTTTCGATATTTTCTGTAATTTCGGTAGCAAAGGCCTTTGATTCCAAAGTCTCTTGATTTTGATCAACAAACATCGATATTAAATAAAGCTTTGGTCGTGGTCTGTTCGAAAATGTAAGGATAAGTTAAATTCTTCGTCGGAATTCCGCGTCGCCGTTAACAAACCAGAATGACCTTATTCTTAAGAGATTTCTGTATACGCTCGAATTCAAATTACTCCTTTAATTATAAAGATATCGGGAGACACGGTTTTTTTCATTCAATTTTGAATCTTTACATTTTTACAACCTCAGTACTGACGACTGACTAGAAATTTACTTGTTTGCACATTAATAATGAGTAATGATCGAATTCAGCAATCACTTTTATCGCTAAAAAGTAGGTATACATAACATGGAAAATCAGGGGCCAAATTCTTGATAGAACAGCTTCCTAGCTTAAACCAAAAAGATTGTAAAAGTTTGTAGTTTAAACAAAGAAGAAATGTGGATTACTAGTTTTATGACATCACGGCGCTAAAAACTCAGATAATAAAAAAACGTGTTTGACCTCGTGTTTGAAATTATGGCACAACATTTTTGGCGAATTCAAAATAACCCAATAACCGTTTTGCGTAAAGAACAATCTTAATTTTGGAACATTTTTTTCTCCGTTTTTAGCGCATTTCCACAAAAATAAAAAATAAATGCGCTATTGTGGCTACTTATTTTTATTTATGTCTTACTAACATATCATAGCACATTTTATATCTGTGATATGCGGGCATAAAGTACCACTGTATGCCCTAGCTAGAGCATTAAGTATCACCATAGTAACTCATATATACTTAATGACAAAACAAACAAATATTTGCAGGTCATTGAAAATTAGAAACGCCAATTATTAATTGTCAATACCTACTAAATCACAAGATTGCCTTTACTTGGAATAGTTTCTGGAGTTTCTTCCTCATTCTCGATGAATTGAATTATTTAAAATTACCTTTGACGTTTGGATGGTTTCAATCACATTAACAAATTCTAACCACGCATACTTGATCAAACATAATGAATTATTTTGTAAATAATATTTACTTTGACGAAGAAAACTATTTGTAAGACATAACATTTTGAATGTACCACGTTCATAAACTGATGTTTATACTCTCGGGCGACTCTCGCCCTCGAGAATATAAACATCACTATTATGCCCTTAATACATAAATTACTATTACATATAGTATATACACGGTGTTCATTTTTCGAGTGCCACTATGGGGATCTCGCATATTTTAAGAGATAGATATTTGGTTAAATGAGGGCAAAGTTGCGAATTTTCGTGTTGAATCATAATCTGAAAAGAAATTTAAAATATCTTCAATAGTTTTGAAAATATTGCAAAAAAAAGAAAATGTCTGATTTTCGTTTTTAATTTTTTCATAGTAAACTAATCGTTCTAGACATTTCTAATTAACACATTATTCAGACACTTTTTAATGGAGATTTCGAATACGGCATCCCGTTTTCAATACCTTTTAAGATGACGGGGAAACACGTGACAACATTCATTTTTCTTATGGGCGCCGTTTTGAATTTTCACATTTTGAGATTACGTCTTTTTTTCTCTTTACAACGATATATCACACATGGTATGGTTCAGTAACACATTTTTCCTAAAATTGCAATTTTCATTTTCTACGAAGGGTGCTTTGGAAAAACAAAACGTTCTTTTGTTGTGAACAAAAGGTCGACTTATTTCAAGTAGTGTAATTTACGTTTGTGCTAGATTTATTGCGAAAATATTATTTATTCTCAATTATTTTGTTCTAATTTGAATTATAATTTTCTTGCAAAACGAAGGTTTAATTCTATTCAGATGAAAATCTCAACACAACTAGTTCTTTGCCAACGGTCCAACCAGACAGATGGATGAAACTGTCAAACTTTTTAAATTTTTTCACGATAAAAGAACATTTTATTTTTCCAAAGCACTCTTCCCGAAAAATTAAAAAGTGTCTGTATAATGTTTTTTGCGATATTTTCAAAACTACTAAAGATATAATTTCTTTTCAGATTATTATTCAGCACGAAAATTCGCAACTTCGCCCCCATTTAACCAACTCTATCTCTTCAGGTAAACGAGATCGCCATAGTGGCACTCGAAAAATGGACACCGTGTATAGGCTATAGCTAAAATAAACGTCGACGGTTGCGTTGGCTACCAGTGTGTCAACCAATGGGATACTTGTTACTCCTAGGTTATTCCAAGAACATCTTTTGTGCGAATAGGTGTAATTGTAAAAGCGGCCTTTAATGGCTTATGTAACATTGGAAAATGGACAGACTATAATGTACGTTTCGAGACCCTTTCAATTGACTATATACATTGAATAAAAACACTATAAGAAGCCTAACGCTTATGGAAGAAAGCGCGACAAATCCCCTTGCACCCGCATTGGTTGTGACCGCCGAACTCTCTTTGCGGTAAATAGGAGGAAAGCAAATTCTCATTCTTCTCAGTTCAAGAATCGACTCTATTGACAGTGTTCCCATTATATTCTCAGTTCAAGCTCTGTCGCGCTTTATTTCCACGGGGTTAGGCTTCTTATAGTGTTGTTATTCAATGCTATATAGGAGTAGGAAGATGGACATTGGACTGAGCACATGTGGAGGCACGGGTTGTTTTCCCGCGAAAAATTATCTACACTAGCAGTTCTCAGGTTCACCTATATCAGCACTTACCAATTCACAAGTTTTTATTACCTAATGTTTCAAATATTAAATAGTGGTTGTTTAATAGTTTCGTTTAATTAGGAAAGAATAAAGAAAGAAAATACGCGTATTCTCATATTGTAGTTTGCGAGGATATGGCGAATAGTTTCATTGGACTCTCTATCAAACATACTTTCCACTTACTGTTTATCATCCATTAACCGATCATTTTTTCATTTATAAATAATTTACCCTTTATTTACCAATTACCACTTATTTACTTCTCATTTCCCTCGTCATTTACTTATTTACTACTTATTTACCACTAATTTACTCATTTACCAGTCATTTACCACTAATTTACTCATTTACCAATCATTTACCATTACGTGTACACTCATTTACCAAGGTGGTCTACCCCTCGAGCAATATTCAATTGGAATGAAGATCTGTGCAATTTTGTAAATCCCCCCCCCCCCACCCATTTTTACTTTTACCCCTCTCCTGTCTAGGACCGCATAATATTCCCCCGTTACAAGGGAAATGCGCACATGAACATGATTAACATTTTTTTTTCCAAAATATAATACCATACAATCTTTTATTTTTTTAAATGCATTTATTTTATCAGGCCTTAAAAACCAACCCCTGCTGATTCAAATCAAAAAAATGGGGAAAATAACTCCATAACTCGCTTAGGTTTGTAGGTTTTTTTCATCAAGCTCATAAAAAGTAAATTGTCTTTTAGCCTACAAAACAAAAGTCATCCATTTTTTTAAATTACCATCTCCAGTCTTCCCCTCTGTCCTTTGTTTTGAGTGGGCGGGGCTAACGCTGCTCTACCAACCCAACCCACTATACATTTACAAATATCCATGCCCGGATTCAAACCAGGGACCCTTAGTACCGCAGTCAACCTTCAACTCAACTGCGCCACACGGGCCGACTTACAAATACACAAATTAAAATTCAAAATTTCTTGATTAAAAAAAAATTTTTTTTGGGTAAGATGTTTCTGTCAGTATGAAGAATAATTTCCAGCATTTTTTTCTTGTCCACAATTATACATAAAAATTATGTGTGCCATTCTTACTTCCCACCCGTTATTTACATTAGACTGCTATTTTCTACTTGCCGCCCTAACTTTTTGCCAAATTTGAATTGGAAACTGCTGCAACACAAACATCTACATGGATCTGTTCTCTTCCGAATCCCTCAATTTTATTGTTATCAAGCGACAAAACCTATTACAACAATGGAATTGTTTCTCGACTGAAAATTGTTGCATATGAATTTGAAAAACTTACTCTAGGTTTATCGTTGTGTGTATCAGTCCAATAACGATGAAACTTCACAATATTTGGATGTTCGAGTTGCGTGAGATTCTCAAACACAAGTTGAATTTTTTCTTCTTGCGCTTTGAAATTCTTCCTTTCAGAAAACTGTACTTCGTTCCAAACCACTTCGACGCCTTCTTCGGTATCCATGGCCAAATAAGCTGAGTCAATACCTGGTACATCCCTTTGTTCGACCTGTTCAGACAAAAAGGAAATCGTTAGTGCGAGTGAAATATTCAAACAGTTTTTTGTATAATTGTTCAGTGTACATTTCCAGAAAATTGTCCATAATTAATGATCTAGATTTATATATTCATGGTCAAACTGAATTAGATTTTCTTAAAGAACAATCGAATTTTTCCGTGAACTAATTAATGGTGCTTGAAAGTAGCATTCCTGCATACTTCCAAATTGACTATTGGAATCGTTTATGACAACGTGTTTGGTACCTACTCGAACATATCTCCATCCTTACATTTTAAATAGATTGTGTATTTACGCGAAATCCCACTTCCCGTCAGCAAAAGTCAATGAAACGAAAATACTCAACAGGATCTTGGTTTTGGTTTGTCAGTTATAAAACAATTTAAGCTGAATGTGGCGGTTGCGGTTTCAAAAATAAGGAGTAAATGCATGTCTTTTGGGATTTTCCGTATTGAACAATATGAGATATTGTTCCCTTGTGTCAAAGGTTCTCAATTTTTTACCACAAGCCAACATTTTGGGATATCCACTAATCCTGATCCATCGGATATGCGGATACCTGTTCTTTGTCTCCATTTCATTTTTTAGTAGTTCTTAAAAGCTGCTTATAGTGTGTACATAAAAAAAACGGGTGGCGCCAAAGAGAAAAATAAAGTGGAGCTCGTTATAGGTTCATGTAAAAAAAAAACACAAATTTGGAACTTTGTGTGACTTACAAGGGATCCATATTAGACTCTTGGTTTATTCGGAGCGAATATTCGTACAAAAGTAACATTTTTTTAAAATTTTATACACGTTAATTACATACAGTTTCAGACAGGAGACTATTATTTGTGATGCACTTTTACTAATATTCTGTATGCATCCGGTAGTTATTGAGATATTGGCATTTTTTGAAAAAATGTTCTTATTTTTCATTAGGTGTAGTAGGCTTTGGAAGCAATCGTTTCATTAGGAAATTTTCACCCGTTACTCCAAAAAGTGTGAACGCAAGCACCCGCGTTCCAAGGATCGGCGCTATTAAATATGAGCCGGATTAAAAGTCGTGTTTCAGAATGCGAGCTGAGTAGGACGCCGAGATTGTTTTCTATCAAGATAGAAATACGTTGGGAGTAATGGGGCACATAGGACGTTGATCCCAATCAGATATCCAGGTCCATTAGTCCCAACGTATTTTGACTATTTAATAAATAATTTCGGCGTCCCGATTACTTGGCAACCTCACGTTGCTCCGGCCCTAAGGAAGATTGCCTCACCTTAGATATTTATAATTATTTAATAATATCCGAGATAATATCTTTGAATTTCGTTCCAAATCGTAGCCATTTAAACGTAAACCAACCGATCCATGCAAATGGAACGTAATTTGGTAGCTCTCCTATTTACTTTGCATTTCATAATGAACGCGACGCCTAAAACTGGGCTTCATTATTTCTGTAAATCTCTTACCAGACGTAATTTCACAAACAACGCAAATTGTTTTGCTATTAAGCGTAATGAGAACAGTTGCATTTAAGGGTTCGCGCCCTGTTATAAATCAACTCGCCGTGTTTATAAAGGATTTTTTTCACTACTAGCGTCTGATGACATGATTATTAACCTTTTTTCCACTTGTAAAGTAGGCTTTCTCGGCATTTGTTCAAAGTGGTTAATAATTTTTTATTATTAACTAGTAGTCAATAATGAAAACTGTCATGCTGTCACTTTTAGAAAACACAACCCGAAATTTCGCTCAATGAACGTTTAGACAAGTTCTCTAAAACGAATAATTGCCACCATTCGCAATTTCCAGAGAAATTACATACCTAAAATTATCACATTTTGAAAAAATTCGAACGAAATTACTCTTTGAAAAATCTCAATGACAGAACAAAATACGGCCTATTTGACTTGTACTTCCACGTACTTGATTGACATGTTAAATTAATAAACAAAAATTCTGTCCAACCGTTAACTCTCTTATCAATATAATATGTTAATTTAGAGGATTTCAAGTGCTAGTAGTGAAAAAAATAGTATATATACCACGGTAGAGAAGTCTCTTATTGCCTTCGCACCTTACACCCCTCGGCGCAAGCGCCTCGAGATGTAATCTTGGTGCTCAGGCAATAATACTGGACTTCTCTACCTTGATATATAATGTACTATTTTTACGATATTCTGCTGTGTGCGAGCTGATATCGTTAGCGATTATGTAAATTAATTAATTTTTGGTTTTTCTAGACGTCCGTTCATGTGTAATACTTAAATTATAATCAGTTATCTGTGTTGGTAAGTTGAATGAAATTTTTTAATTAATTAATATTGTGTTTTATCACTACACTGGGTAAATCACATGTGCGATAATGTTTATTATTTATAGTATTGATTACTATGTGGTGTGGATCGATATTTTTATCTTTGGCGCCACTGTCTGACTAAATCCATTTGAAACATGTGTCACCATTTGTATGTGCCAAAAATGGCAATATTAACTTCCTTTTGATGGCATCCAAGTGCATACCATATAAAGGTCTCAAGTGCGTTCTTTTGTACGGTCTTTGAAATAAATGAGTTCTACGAACTGAATCCAGCTCCAGAATTACAGTTCTTCGTTGAACGAACGTTTGAATCTAATTCTTGTTGCGATCTATTTTGCGGTTATTTCCGGGAAGACAATGCAGATTAATATTGGCGTCAGACGTACATTTGCAAAAATTAAGACGTTAATTGTTAAGTGTCGCGGTGATTGCATCACTATTACCGCAAATCTTAAATTCATATTTTGTGTGATTCTTACCAATTAACGTAATTAGTGTAGGAGAAAATAGTTTCGTAACCTATTTTCGTCACATTTATCTTTTCCATATTTGTATTTATGGAATTGATTAAATTCATTGGAAATGTGCCGTTGTTTTATATGTGTAATGTCAGCAAAAATTATTACTTCATTCTCCATTAAATCGCATCATGTCTTCGTCGTCTTTGCTTCGGCGTTTCTTTGTCACTACCTTGATATAAACGCTACAGTAGGTATAATTACAGGAATAAGCAAAACCGGATCACTACCTCTGAGACAGAGCCTACAATTTCCTATGGAACGAAAAAGAAATTTTGTTAAAAAATGGGCTACATTCTTCCGAATTCAAAAACGGTAAGAGATAGCGGATTCGGATCTTGTGCATCTAATTAGCATGAAAATGGTGGTCTATTTTTTAAAAAAATAATTTATTGCTCGATAACTCCACCCATAAAAAGTTACATACTTCCTAGTTAATCAATCAATAAAAATAACCTAAAAGTGAGTTTTTTGTTCTTTTCTTTTATCCATCTCATCCACTTCTCACCTCTTCACCCCTGTTTCAACACATCGCTCCTGCTTCTCTTTGTCCTGTCCACATCCCAGCAATTCCATAGCATGTTGTTTATGTCCTCTTCTTCTTTTCCACATGTTTGTTCTTCTTGTCTACATCTCTTCTTCCCTCTCTCTTCCACATCTAAAGGCCGACACAGACGTGCGGACTTACCTCCAGACTTGCCTGAACGGGTAAGAGCGTTCAGGTAAGTTTGCGTGTTAGTGCATCAAGTGCGATGCGCGTTCACACCAAAAGTGCGGCTCGAAGGAAATCTGCCAGTGCTTGATAATTTCGAGTAAGTGCGAAGGCATTTCGCTCGTGTGTAGGCTAGGAACAGCTTCAGTTCAAGCTTTCATTGATTTGTTTCAGTGTTTTCCTGTCCAAGATGAGTGACGGTCGCTTGTGGTCTAAACAAGTAACGACAGACTTTATAGATTCATACCGGGCCAACAGTTGTTTATGGAAAATCAGTGTTTTCCACGTCTTTATAGCCACATTTTCGTCCAAGCAGACCGCCGCACTCGTTTCCTATAACTGCTTGCAACAGTTACGTGTTTCACTTAGCACGCAACGGCTGCTGCAATTAAGCAATAGTCCTCCGTTGTTAATACACTCATCTTCACCACGGTCAGGTCAGAACTGAAATGCCAAATGTCTTCGGATTTACTTGAACGCTGTGTGTCCTCTGGCTTCATTCAGACTTACTCGCGCACTTGCCTGTTCAGGCAAGTCCGGAGGTAAGTCCGCACGTCTGTGTCGGCCTTAAAGCTCGTCATTTTTTTAAAATATTTTTCTAAGTATTTGGTAAGCACTTTTTTATTGGTGATCGATGGAGAGGTTTGGTTAACCAATAAATTTCTATACGTTCTGGATACCGAAGAATTTGTTAATCGAACGTGAGTTGAAAGTTTGATCTGTTCAAGTCTTAATAAAAAGTTATTATCGGACAAGAATTAATTGTTTTTTCCGCAAACAATGTCACGTGCGAGATAAGCGATGCAGGTATTTTACCAGTTCTGTGGCTGTAGAGAAATTTCGAGTGTAGTCGGGAATAACGATTTTGATTTAATTAAATGGTGTGGAAGAATGAAGAGCAAGACTGTTTCTGGTTATTTTGAAAGAGAGCATAATTGTCTGTCACGCTAACCGGTACCGTCAGTCCAACCGGCTATGCAGTTTTAAAAATTAAAAAAAGACACAATCGTCCTCATGTTAGTTAAACAAAAGTTACAATTTTTTTCCAACCATGGCCATCTAGACTCAAACGTTTAATTAATTTTTTCACCAACCTCGTATAAATTACTGAAAGCAATGATCAGGTGAAAAATTGTCTGTAAAATCCAAAAATGTATAAAGTGTACTATGTAAAATTTAAGGTTACTAACCGGAAGTAACGGAAAAATACTATTTCGAGCATTCAACATTCGGTTTTACTCAAGATATCGTCCACGGTCCAAACTTCCGTCGGAATATCATAAAGAAATCAGTTGGAGGGGAGAGAGGGGAAACAGGAATCGTGTAAAACAAAAACCTTACCAAATGTAGTCATTTGCATATTTGATTTAAACAAAAAACATATGCTTAAGGTTTATTTGTTTTAAATAATAATTCCTATGTAGGAAACAGTTTCATAGGTTATACGCAATTAACATCTGT